CCACCAAGTACGTTAGTCCTGCAACCACTGCTCGCAGAATTGTTATCTTCGACATCATCTCTGTTCACGTAGTTAGTGATGGATGATTTGGTTGGCATGAGGAGAGAAAAAGAAGAAGAAGAGGCATGGGTTTTGAGAGATGGGACTGTGACTTTTATCTCAATGTTTATGGGTCCCTCATCGAAAGTTCATGGAAATGGGAACGAAAACCTCTTTCTGTTTCCCTTCTCTCTTTCCACAGCAACAATCATTTGTTTTTACCTTTATCCTTATATTATCGTGCTCTTTCATCACACCTTCTAATATTCTAATTACTTCTCCTTTAAAATGGAAATTTCCATTTCAGTTCTGTCTTTTTATTTAAACTTATTTTTTAATAAAATATTATGTTTTTTACAAATATTTAATTTTATATACATAATATATTTTTGGAAGTGAAAAGATATATTAAAAATATTCTACATGAAGCTACCATAAATAAAGGGGACAATCTCCCTTTTTATATGCAAAGTTTTGTGAAAATGAAACAAATTTAATAATAATGTCTGTGAGTTAATTTTGTATTGGTAAAAGTTTCAAATTAAGAGCACAAGGTTTAAATAAACGTTTCTTTTTGGACCATTAGAGGAATGTCAAAGATACAAATATATATAAAAGATAAATCGACAAAGTATGAATATTAATAAAGAAAAATGCATATCACGTGCAGTGCATCTTGTCAGCCAGTGACGCATATATTATATATATTAAATGTGAATTTCATGTATTTAATTATAGTATTACGTGAAATATTTGGTAGGAAATTTAATAAACTTTATGATTAACCAGTTTTAAAGGCAATTTGTTTGCGTCATCTCCCTGCCGACTAAATTATATTATATTTATGAATTGATTTTATTCGTGGCGTGAGTGTTTTTTCCGTATGAAATTACGTGTATTTTTTGAACATGAAAGACAACCCTTTTCCAGTTAAATATGATGACTGTTTGACATTTTTCTTTAAAAATAAATAAATTATGGTCTGTTTACCCATGTCATACAGCCGATTTCTCCAAAAATAGAGTTTATCGAGACTAATTTTTTGAGTTTATTTAGATTGGACTTTTAAAAAATTGAGAGTTTATTCAAGTTTCCTTTAGTTGACTTCTAAGACTGACCTCTCTGAATCGATGTTTTTATAATGATCTCATTAAGTCGTTTTCTTTTAGGTCGAGTCTTTCAAGTTGATTTTCTTAGATTATGTTCTCTAGACTATCTTCTTTTAGGTCTATTTCTATAGGTTGACCTCCTCAAGCTGAGCTCTCTGGATCAAACTTTTCAGGTTGTTTTTCTCAGATCGAGCTCTCTAGATCGAGCTCCTTCAATCGAGCTCTTCCAAGATCGAGCTCCTCCTCCACCTAAACTTCAACAGAGCTCCAAGACCAAGCTCTCCTACTGATCTCCAAGACCGAGCTCTCCTATAGTTAATTTAAAAGACTAATCACTTCCAGAAAGTCCCACTCTAGATCGACTGGTCAGAACATGGCCAACCAGTCTTAGCATGATCAAAATTAAACAACATGGCCAACTAATCAGAGCATGTTCAAAATGTAGATTAATGTATGATTGGATCATCAACTAAAGTTAAAGATTCATCGCAACTACTATATATAAAGGTCTCAAGCATGACTTTAACATTATATGAATAAAATATGCATCAATTGCTAAACAAACAATCATCTACTGATTTTAACATCGAAGTACCTTCTACAGGTACCATCCAAGCAAATTATGGACCTAGAAATCGTGGACTATGGGTAGTGTGGAAACCGAGCACTATGGACGTGGAAACCAAGCAATGTAGACAACATGCAAACCGAGTGTTGTGGACATCATGGAAACCAAGTGGTAGAAACAACTCGAGGAGTGACTCAACCTGTCTAGTCTACAACACAACTCGTCTAGTCAAGGACCCCCTGAAACAATCTGTATAAGCTTAATCTCTCGTTATGTTGAAGACATACATCGATATGCGAATCTTAATTTATAAATCAGTTTTATAAAATTATATTATATTTCAAAATTTATTTCTTAATATGATATTATAATCATTAAACATTTATTTTATTGTTATTTATTGAATCTATATTATTAATTGTTATTAAACCGTTACTGTACAATACGACCGTCTTATCACCTTTTGACTTAATGGTCCAAACCGTCAGCCATGCCATAAACATGACCACTCCTAAAACTGTGTGACTATGACCAACAGGTCAAACAATCAACCTATAGAGAAATTATCTTTAATATTGATCAATTTAAGACAAAGTATAATTTATTACCAATTGGACCATTATTATGTTGTCATTAGTCCAAAACTCACCCAAAGTTTATAAATATACACTTGAGATAAAAAAGTAGATGATAACATTTAATACGCATTAAAAGCTTAAACGGCGGAATCTTTATTAACTTTAACATTGGATTATCTTCTCCAAGTAACCTCAAAGCATAACGGATGAAAGACAACTATAAATGATAGCATGAAGACGAGTATTTGAATAGCTAACAACTCATATAACAATAAACCGTTGATCTAGATTCTAAATTCGAACTTAATATTTATTTTGATGTATATAATTTGGAAAAGTATGTTAAAACTTATAAAACTTGTTAAGATGTATTTTATCTCTCAATTTATCATAATCTCTCTTAAAATCATCACTTCATTTTGTCATATAAATAGAATTTTTGCTATCAGTATTTTGTGTCTAAAGAAGTTTCTCTTATCCCAGTAGAATATTATTATTGCTTTACTTTTCACATTGCCAAAACTAGGTTTCTAGTTCTTAAGATTGTAAAAGTAAAAGTAAATTAATCAATACTAATTTAAGGATTAAAATAGTATCTTCTATGTCATACCAATTTAACTTTATTTTCAATAATTTCTTTGTTCACTGCATATTTATGACATTTAATTACACACTAGTTCTAAAAAAAATGATTAAATATAAGCAATTTTTGGCATTGGACTTGGTCAAAATGCAAAATTTGATTTAGCAGTCACACATGGATTATTAAAACAAACAAAAATCAAATTCATTAAAAATAAATGTTTTTCATGACAAATGCTACAAACAAATGTATACGATATAAAATTTTGGTCGGAGAACACGAGAGAAATATGCTTCTTATTGATTTTGGATAGAAAGTTATTTTTGTGTTTATTCTATCTTGATTTTTGTGCTTTCTTTGCTATCTGCAGAAACAAATGGAGCGTTAGTAACTACTTTTAATTTTTATAAAAAATTATTTTCATGTTCATTATTTTAAATACTTAAAATTAAACAACTATGAATCATCGTTCATATGGCACCTAATTGCTAGAAAAAATATTGAAGCATCATAAATTAAAATAATTTTAAGTATCTGTCAATGTAAAATAGTATTACCGATTTTGTGACAAATTTCAACTCAATAAGTTTATTTGCACGACCTTTTTATAAGTTTTTGTTTAAATCAACTTATATATATAAGGTAAAATAAACTTTTTTGAAAAAGTAAATCTCAATGATTGAGTTTGTTTCTATTATAATACACAACATATTTTTAAAGTAAAACTTATTAATGCATAATTATTAATCTCTTACCTTTCTTAATCTTTCCACTCAAGTATTCTTTTGTAGAAAATGAGAAGAAGAATTTGCTTAACTTTCATTATAATAATGGAAAATACCTAACTTTTGAAGACAAGACTATACTTCTATTTTTCCACTTCTCCCAATCTCTCTATCTTTATCCTTTTCCTTTCTTTTCTTTTAAATAAATTAGCTTATAGGAATATAATATTGGATTAAAACTAAAAATTAATCACTTAATTACAATGCTTTAGTTGACTCATATTTTATAAGACTAATGATATTAGTCTTTTTCTTTATAATACATTTTATAATCTATATAATTTTAAATTTATTTTCCTTCTTTGTGTCTATTAAATATTCAAAATATTTGTGTTTTTACACATGATTAATGAGAACATAATTTTAAAAGTTTAGTCTCTACCAACTATTAAATTAATTATTCATATTAATATAAGTGATAATGTTAGAAGTCCTTCCTCTTATGATAAATTCTCATACTTTGGTTATGAAAAGAAAATCTTATGGGAAAATCTTAAAAACAATCAACCATGTATTCAATAATCAATTACTAATTCTTTTTTTAGATGAGTTTACGGTTCTTATGGATAAAGAAAGAAATGTAATAATAAAAAAACACTTTAATAATATTTATTAATTTTCATTTTTTTTTTGTATTTGTAACTAATAATAGTACAAATGAGAAAAAAAATCAATTAATCTTATCTTCAACTTTAAAATAATAATAAAATAGAAACACAAATCCGTAAGAAAATGAGGCACTAAAATAGAAAACTCAGATGGGCATAGATAAACAACATTAAGCTCATTCATGACTCACAATAATTAGTCAATTATTGGTTATAATAATAATAATAACAATTGTCTGTCTAGAATTGATCGCACACGTTATCATTAATTATTGAATTCATGTTTTAGTTTTCATGTGAAGAAAAAAAAATTATTGTTAAAAAAAAGAATCCAATCCACAAGAAAGAAAAGTTTGATTTCTGGTTATTAGTAAGTTATTTTTTTATTATTTTCAATAATTATAGTAATTGATTATCCTTCAAAGATTTCTATTCCAATTTGGAAAATGTAAAGCTGCTACAGTGTAAGAGACCGATGGAATTTAGTTTCATACAGATATTAAATACATGTATGAATTTTTTTTGTTACTTTTTAAATTTTTATTTTCTACTTTCTTTCCCTTCATCTAAATAATTTCAACCTTGGAACTCAAAATCTGTTTCTATTTCTATTCCTTTCCTTTGAATATTCGCTCTGAATCTCTCTTTGTATTCCTTTCAATCTTTTATGGTGGTTGGTCTGAGCAGACCTAAATGAAATCACGAGGAGAGACTTGGTCCAGGTATATGCCAAAATGGATAATACATTCTGGATAAGCCCTCCCCTTCCATCCACCTTCCTTTGGATTCCCTTCATCACACCAAATCCAGTTCTACTTTCCTCGCTCCTTCTCATTATTCTTCCCAACAGATATTTCCACCCTAATGTTGTAGACTGTAAGATTTATTAGCATCTGCACACTGATCTACCCAAACCAGGTTTCTTTTATTTTTCTCATCTTTGTTTCATGAAAAAAATGTCAGCCTTACTTTCAACAACAAAATGTGGGGATTCAGACTTTCATGTTTCTGAACATAATGAAAATATAGAAATAGTGTATAGAGTGCACAACCAGTGTTACCAAATGCAGATAGGTCCTAACAAATTCCATTAGATTGTCTTCTGTGCCTCAAGTCGCTGCAACTCAGCCAGTCTTTCTGCCCACTCCCTTTCCCTTGCAACTGCAGCCATTTTACGTTCTACCCTCTGAATATTTTTCTTCCTATTAGCCTCTTGCAGCTGAGCTTTCCTTTTCTTCCTCTCCGCCTGTATGCAAGAGTTCACATTCAACATTTATTCCAATACAAATATTTGGACTGATAGCATAGCTAGAGAAACTTCTAGTTTACAAAACAAAAAATCAATTCAAACACAACACCGGTATTTTGGTAAGTTCTGAAAAAAAACCGCTCAAACCTCCTTAATAGCTAAAAATAAGCACCTACTGACAGATAAAAACGATCATAACCAACTCCAGTTAGCGTTAACAAATTTAGAACTTTGATTGACACTTGATAGTCAATTATTTGCCAAAGAATCCCGATAAATTCCAGAGTTATTTTCAATGAATAAGCACATGATGGTCTAATACAGTTAAACATAGACAAAAAATTCACGTCATTTACAAAATTTGAATTTCCAAATGGTGATTATTATGGCTATAGTTTTTGTCCATGGAACTCGTTTGACATTCAATAGCAAATAAACTTGCCACCAAATATAGTTGTACTTCAGACTTGCACACAGTCTACTCTAGCAAAATATAATAGTACCTTTCATATCCCATGTTCATGAAGGTTAAAAGATTAAATGACAGAATGGAGTCCTCAAAAGAACTAAATGGATATAGTTAAAAAAAATGTGCTGTCCATGAATTAGAAAAAGAAAGAAAGACAGATGCCTTCAAGGGCTAAGAGTTGGTAATTTCAAGGGCTAAGAATTAGTGGATTTACATGGACTTGTTTCAGCTTTAGTGACAAATGACTAGATCCTGTATATCTCCCATGATTGTTCACTCACCTAACAATACTATACACATTCACGAAGTTCTAACACGGACATTTAAAAATTACGTTGCTAGAAATCCCATAGAACTTATTGTTGAATATTTAACAGTTCTCTTCACCATTAAATAAGATGACTCTCATAGCAACAAACAGAGTAGCTTTACCCAACTAGGTTTATTCTCTTGATCATTAAACAAGATGACTCCTACAACATGAAATGAAACTAATTCAAAATAACAAATTTCTAACACAATCAGCAAGTACCATGAATTTTACTATCCTGTTTCATCCAGCTTCTTTTCCAATTGCTCAACCCCTCCCTCTTTTCAGTGCATTATTACATTTAGAAAAGAGTTTTCATTTTCTTCAAATGTAAACAAAAAACACACTCAATATTCATGAAGTCTCCAAAATTCAATTTGCACATGGTAAGGCGAGAGCGCACCAATATAAATGCGCGGCGCAGCCTCATGCGTTTCTTCTCATTTCTCCTTTTGACACTCCCCTCATTCGGCTTATTTGGAAGTATGGTTTCGCCAGGTGTATGTTGAACCCAAGCGTAAGGCCCTGAACCACATAAATTGTCTCAAAATTTGAGTCAAATTCAAAATCAAAAGCATAAAAATGCACACACCAGATGGTCTCAGGCTGGCCCTCTTTCGACGAGGTTTATCAGAGGGTCGTCTCTTTGGGAAGCGAGTGTCTGTCAAGCTATGGAAGTGATTCAAAAGGGGAAGAGTCCACTGGGGAGGTTTGCAGGGAGATGGCGAAACAGGACAAAACAATGCCATCGAAGCATTGGTGGAGATTTGAGAGGTCAAGGTTCTTGATGATGCAAGTGATAGAGGGCGAACAATGTTCCTTAGCACTCCTGCAATTCCCATTTCTCTCTGCATTTAATAGAAAGGATTAATTCACGTGCAGAGCAAAGAAACCCATGTACTTTTCTTCTTAATAATACACGCTTCAAATAAATCTATCCATAGGAAGCACCAGATAGTGAACTTCTGAGTTATCAGAGATGCAGACTGCAATAATAATTGGAGAAAACAAGATCTTTGCTAGCTATACTCAGAATTTTAGTGAAAATTTACAGGATAGTAAACAACAAAAATACAACAATGCCAAATCTCAGTATCAAACATGCTAATTTCATAGTGCAATCGAAATATAATGTTGTACCAAAACTATTTAAGACCAAATTAGAATAATTACAATGCTTTTTAAGTGGTCAACATGATGTATCAAACTATAAATACATTTTATGTCCAATTAGAATAACTGACAATAACACAAAGGGATACTAAGTGATGCTCGTTCAGTGGAAAATAATGATTGTGATAGTCTATGTTGCAGTAAGCATATATGAAAGGGTATGAAAAGGAAATGATACATTTCCTTGTAATTATGTGCTGCTATCAGCAATGACCAACAATTGCAGTCAAATTCCAATGAAAGTAGCAGATTATTGAATAGTTAAGCATACATAAAGTGGCAGCTGGGAGGAAGTAATAGCAAATTCATTTTTTCTCCTTTCTAAAGGTTGGAGTTATTTTTTAGTGACAAGTAAAGTGATCTCCAGAAGGAAATGGATTGGCATTATTACCACTAAATTGTTCTAAGAATACTGTTGGAGATTCATATCAATTACATATATAGTCAAATTTCAATATATAAGTGAATACAAATCTCACCTAACAAATTGGTTTTACTAGGTTATGTTAGGCCTAAATTCACTTTTTAAGATGATATCATAATCTATCCTAACAAAATTTGTTGGTTCTATCGTGTCAACCTCTATTGGATCACTTACAATTATCTAGTTCCATGCTCAAGATATCATATCAAAACTTTGACGTAAAAGAGTGTTGGAGATCCCACACTAACTAGAGATATGCCTAACTTATAAGATATAAATGGATGTTAACCACACCTTTCAAATTAGTTTTGTAAGGTTAAATTAGGCCTAGATCCACTTTCTGAGATCAATGCATAAACTTACTCCCTGGATGATTAATGCAAAACCTTACGTATTCCTTAGCACAACTAGAAACACCTTAAACTATCGCAACTGCATACCATAAAAATAAAAGATTGAATCATATATAACCACTAGTTCCATTTCCTAGAGTAAAATTGTGCACCACATTATAGCAACCATGGCGAAAAAGGGAAGGAAATTGAGCTCCACTAAAGAAAAGTGTGCACCAAAAACAATAAAGAGAACTCTGACAGTTATCTCCCAAATTCATCCATATTCAAGTTAAATAGAAAGGAAGCTATATGGATGAATAAATATCATTAAAAACTCAGCGTTATCGAGAGTGTGCATGAAAATGCTGCTCAGAACATCTGCACGAGTCAATGACCATGCAATAATTTCACACCACACAATCATAGTTTCGAAAATTTCCATTACATTTGGCTATCACAGACAACAATACCAAATAACAGAAACATTTCCTCTCTCGAAAATATGTGCATGTATCAAATTTGTTTAAGTGTTAGAATTATTCATCATAAGTCAAATAATATGGAAAATGTCTTCAATTTTCATGGGTGCAAGACAAAGGTTCAGGTACACAGCTTCGGATAGAACTCGGAAACGAATAGCTCTGTGAGATGATGCCCATTTGCTTGAGTTAATGAAAGAACGAAACAGCTAGATTTTCAGCTTTCACAATAACTGGGTACTACTTACAAATAAAAACACACGTGATATACTGGTGTAAAAAAAAAGAGAAAGAATAACAACCAAATAAAATATAAGTTGCATATGCGTTAAAGGACTTGTATGAAAACAGAAAACAGTCACCAAGTAATAATAAACAGAGGAACAAGTGAACAATTAACAAAACTGTCCTGACATCACAGCACCAAACAACTGGCAAATCTCTAAAACACCTAAAAACCCAGAAACCATGAGCAGAAAACAACTACATTGAATCAGTCAACAAAGCTGGCATTTAATCAAACAGTTTATGAGCAGCCAAATTATCATTCGGAGAGTAAACAAAAAAGTGATAAATGAGGTAGTGAAAGCAACGGAAGGTGGAATCCGTACAGAACGAGTGAAGTACGAAAGTAACATTAAAACCACGGATTCATGACATTGGAATTTAGAAGGAACAGAGCGTTACACGTTTGAGTTGTTTCACGGTTCGCTTAGCATCCTACAATAGCAAAGCGAAACCTAAATTGCTTATGAAAGGAATTTACCTGGTGGTTTAGCGTGGCGAATCAGGTAGCTGCAGTGCAATAATCAAATTGACGAAATGGTTAAAGCAAAAAGAACAAAACCAAAAATAGCAGAATGATATTGAAGAAGAAAATGGGTAACTGAAATTATAACTGTGAATGCTAATAATGCGAAGAAGATGGAAGAAGGAAATAACAAGAGAATCGTTGCCTCTAGCTAAAGGACTGTTTGTTTCGCCTTCCTTTTTATTTTTATTGTTCTGTAGAACTTAGAACTGCACAATCTATTCACTTCAATTTTATTCTTTATTAGAATATTAAAATTAAATTATAAGCTTAATATTATAAAAGCTATACCTCTAGGCAAAGAACTGTGAATGCTAATTTTATAAAAGTTATAGCTTTTGATAATTATCATAAATTATAAAAAAAAAATAAAAGTCAATATTAATTAATTTACGATTTTTGGTGAAAATTGGGCATTTAAAGATAATTTGTATATATCCTTATATTATGTTCTCTTATAATATTATATATATATATATATATATATAATAAATTTATTAACGGATTATATATGTTTTTACTTTCTTGACTTTAACTTCAAATGCAAAATTAAAAATCGGAATTTGTTCATGAAACATGAAACATTCTTCTTTCAATATAAGTTGAAAAATACTTTTAACTAGTAAAAAAATTAACCTAATTGAATTAAAAAGACATATTTATCTATTTTTAAAATTTAAAAATCAAAATACATCCAAGTTTTTAACTGGAATGAATTTTAATTTTGCGTTAAACTTCAACTAATAAAAATATATTTAATTCATTATTAATTATATAGTTTGGTTTTGGATAAAGATAACATATTTTCTCTTCTCGGATAGTTTTTATTCGAATAGAAAAAGAGTAGATGAAAGTCAAACAATAAGTGAAAATTTAAATGTAAGTCTGAATTTTATATTAAGTAAAAATCAAAAAATTGAGGACCATAAAGATAAAAATCTAAAAATTTATTGTTTTAAAATTTTAAGTTGAAAATGATGTGGATATCTTATATGGATTAAACACATTTTATTGGTGTTGTCTTCTTGGAAAACCTTTTTATAAAGATTCATTATTGATATCAGAATTGCTCATTAGTTTTGACGAGTGACTCATACAAACACATACTCGTGAATAGAAGTGTTTCAGTTCTATGTGAAAGAAGATTCGCTCTTGAGAAGAAAATTGTTGAGTTGAACTCATCACTTATAAAAGGATGTCTGCATTAGGTTTGTTGATTTGGTTCAGTGTTGCAATATCTCAGGAACAGAAAGCCTGATAAGTATGTGCTTATTTTCTTGCATGAATTGTAGCTTATCAGAAGATGGTCATGGAAGGGAGAAAAGGTAGCGCACGTTGGCTGGTTTTCAGTCAAATTGTTCTTTTGAAAGGGATTCGCCAGAATCATTCAACAATAATAAGACTTGAATTGAACTGACCATCTTTAAACCAAAAATGTAAGATAATATATAAATGATCTGACTCTCATTTCTACTTAAGGTAACTTTAGTTCTCAATAAATATTATCTGTTGCCAATGGAAATGTTGAAGCAAAGAAACCTAGAGTTGTGGAAGTGTCTCATTCACCATGTTTTTAACTCTGCATTCAAGATTTTGAACTTTGTAGATCCTTTGAAGGCATATGAGTTGGTGATGAGCAGAAGATGAATATCAAAGATAAGTGCGAAAAACTAGAAAAAAAAATCATAATGAACACTTGGTTCCATAGATACTAATTACTAACTTATACATAAGACTTGAGTAATCACAAAGATGAACAAAGAGGGTGGTCTTAACATTAGGCATCTTCAAACATCCAAAAATTAATTATGGTAAGATTATGGAACAAAGTACATTGGATTTGGTAGCTTGAAAGTACGGTTCCCCAAATAGTCTCCCTTAATATCACTCCACTGGTCTCCCACATTCCCCCATATCCTGTAACCTTCCTCTTCCAACTGCTTTCTTACATCAGATTTGTATTTCACTGCACTTTTCCCTCTGTATGCTGCACTCCTGCAATTTTTTTCACAACCTTCTCAGTTAGCCTCAACATTCTCAAATGCATGCATGCAAATTCAATTTCTCTTACCTCAAAATAAGCCGTTCATAGCCAACAAATCCCTGATTCTGCAAGTTGTTCTTGGTAACTTCACCAAGACTCTCTTCATCTCTTCCAGTGAGTAAAAACACTTTGAACCCTCTGTCTACTAAAATGCTAAACAATCTCAGCACAGAAGAAATTGCAGGGGACCTTCCTGTCATGGCCCACTTCCTAAAGGCAGATGGGTCGTACGGATCACACCTGCACAGCCATCAACTTCTTGTTTTACCAGCCTTGAATCAATAAAAATCCATGCTTTGACTGATGGATGGTTACAAAGTTAAGACAAAAGGAAACAACTAATCTAGTTTCTCAGACAGACCAATATCTGGTTTGCAAGAAAAGAAAAAGTTATGACAGAAACACAAATTTGAATGAAACTAATTGAAGAATCGCTGCACATACCCATAGTTTTTGCTTTTGTAATAGAAGATGTTGGAGAGGCAAGTGTCATCAACATCCAAAATCCAAGCATCTATGGCATCTGGAGGGAGCAATGTTTGGTTGACATATCCCAATATTTCCTCCACTATCAAATCCAGGTCCCTTTCGTATTGTCCATTCATCATGTAAGTCTCCACATATTGGGAACACTGTGGTGGCACTGTTGGCCATGCAACCACATTGTTTGCTTCCACTGCCAATCTCCAACTCAAACAAAAGCTCATTGAATCCCCTTCACCAGACCTAGATGACTCTTCTTTACCCCTTTTGTTGCCTCTTCTGCTGCTCATTGCCTCTGTCTCTGCTGCCAACATCAGTAACATCAACACCATCACCACCCTCAACAACTCTCTCATTGCTCTCTCGGCCATTCACCCACCTCACTGTGTTTTTTCCTCTGTCACACTATACCTGGAACTTTCAACACACTCTTCTCAGCTTTTCCACAAACATCTCTTGTGCACACTCAATATAATATTATTCATGATAATGGCTTGCAGTAGAAGCACCACCAATACCATATATATACATGGAAAATGACACTTGAACAACCATTTTTGACAACATTTAGACACGCGCACACGTGTCAAAATCTGAGTGGTCCAGTTGGAAAAATTAAATGAAAATGGACCACTCAGATTTTGACATGTGTGCGCGTGTCTAAATATTGTCAAAAATGGTTGTTGAAGGATGATTTTCCTATATACATATATAGAAGTTCCTTTTTTTAGAACACTTCAAAATAATGAATTACTTGTTTGTGTTATGAGATTATTTTTTATAAGAGAATATATGCCATGTCAATTCAGCAAACATGGCCGTATCTTGAAGAAATAAAATTAGATTGTTTGGTGTTGGGAGGGGGAATTTCACTAGGTATAGAACAAGTGTGTCAGGATTCCAACATTAGGTGAAGGGAGAAGTTCAAGATGATACACACATTAATACATGCACATAGATGCAATGTGACCCCGAATTTGAGGTTGTGGGACAAGTGCAAGGAACATCATATTTTTCTTCAAAAAATAATAATAATAATAATAATAATAATAATAATAATAATAATAATATGGTTTATTAAAAAGACAGGGTAAGGTTGTAAAAGTGTAAAGTTTGGATTTTTAAATGGAAATGTTTTACTACTCTAGTCATATTACATATTGAAACAATCTTAAAAATTAACTTTTTTGTTTATAATTTTGGAATAAGAAGTTTTTATGGAAACATAAAGAGAAAGAAAGGATCATCATTGAATAAGATAGATATATTCTTGGACAATTAACATGCATTAAGTTGGTAAGAGATTTCTTCGTAGTTTAGTTGAAAATTATTTAGTTGATAAAATGAACGATAAAAATATATTATCATTATATTTATTTTATTATTTAGTTATTATATAAAAACTCAAAAAAATAAATAAAATCTCATGACAATGACAAAAAAAAAACAATATAATTGATTAAGATGTGTAAAAATATTGTACCCATTCTTTATTTGCTTTATCAATTTTTTATCCCGTTTATCCAACCAAATAATCACTTATAATTAATTCTTCAATTCGTAATAAGATTATATAAACTTCATTTTTACATAAATTAAAAAAAAATTATATGATTTCTTTTTCAAAGAGATTAACTATAGAGAACACTGTGATTGACATCGTTGTAACCCAAAACATTAAATAAATGAATTTATTGGTCTTTATATTAACTTTTTGCGTAGTATAACACGAAACTTAAATTCATATTTATATTTCTAAAAAATAGATATATGATTCAAGCTGAAAGCAAGGAAGAAAACAATAGACAGTTTGCATTTGGAACTAAAGAAATGAGTTGAAAAAAGAATGGAAGTGTGTGGCCAAATATGAGCCACAACTGAGTGAAAAGCAAGGGAGCGAGCTATAGCAGACAGTGATAAGAAAAGGAGAAAGAAAGGTAAAGATTCTTACAATTGCAAAGTGGGACAAAATTCTCCATTTTGATACCAAAGATAAACCTATCTTACGTGTTTATATAGAAAGGACAAAGAGTATGGGAAGAGAAGCGTAGAAAAGTATTATGCATGCATATGCAATTTCCACTAACATATGTTTCCTTTTCATTGGGTGGGGTTGGCGTCAGAGAGCAAAACTGTTCTTCACCATGGTGGAGAAGGAAAAGGAAAATGTTGGGTTTAGGTTCCTACAACCCACTATACTAATGTCTTCATCGTATTCCGACTCCAGCGGTGGCGTCGGCATTTCCGGGAGTTGCTTCTCACCAAGAATGTGTCGCCGGTGTGGGGCTGGTAAAGGCGTTTCAGAAGAGCTACCAACAGGTACAAGGGTGGCGTGAACTTGCTCTCTTTGTTGCATAACCCTGATAACTTTGACTGATGTGAAAATTTTCATTTTTTATTACCAACTTGACTAAGATAGCATGGTAATTAAACTAGTGGGATAATTAACCTGGCTTAACAGAGATTATTTAAGAAATAAAGTGATGAGCCAAAAGGGTTTTTTAACCTTAATTAGTTTACTTACGAAGTTTGTTTCTTGTTCTTTGTCGTGTTGTGTTTTGTGCACCATTAACTCAAATCTGAAAAAGATTTTATTATTTGTTTTCATTGTTTGTGTTTCCTGCAGTAGCTTATTTACCATTGTCTTGATTTCTGA